CTTAAGGGCTGATTCTGAGGCCAGAGTGCTGTTTAGGACATCTGCCATTCTATGAGTCTTCTGTGTATCCCACTTCCCATGTTGGATTGTTCTCTCCTTTTTAACTCTATCAGTTAATATTAGCAGACACTAGTCTTGTTTATGTGATCCCTTTGACTCTTAGTCCTATAATTATGCATTGATAGCTTGTTTATTTGGTGCCTTTCCAATTTCTTAATGTAGGCACCAATTGCTATGAACTTTCCTCTTAACACTGCTTTTATTGTATCCCATAAGTTATTTTTAAAGATTTATTTATTTATTTGAAAGGTATAGTTACAGAGAGGTAGAGGCAGAAACAGAGAGAGAGAGAGGTTTTCCATCTGCTGGTTCACTCCCCAATTGGCTGCAATGGCCGAAGCTGCACTGATCCAAAGCCAGGAGCCAGGAGCTTCCTCTGGTCTTCCTACACAGGTGCAGGGGCCCAAGGACTTGGGCCATCTTCTGCTTTCCCAGGCCATAGCAGAGAACTGGATCAGAAGTGGAGCAGCTGGGACTCAAACCAGCGCCCATATGGGATGCTGGCACTGCAGGTAGCAGCTTTACTTGCTATGCCACAGCACTGGCCCTGTCCCCTAAGTTTTGATATGTTATATTGTCACCTCTATTTATTTCCAGAAATGTTTTGATTTCTCCTATGATCTGCTGTTCATTCAGGAGCATGTTGTTCATTCTCCACATGTTTGCATATGTTTTATAGAGAATCCTGGGTTGCTGATGTCCAGCTTCATTCCATTGTGGTTCGAGAATATGCATGGTATGATTTTTATTTTTTTGAATTTGCTTTATGGCTTTGCATAAATGAGTTTTTTAAAATTCAATCAGCCAGTCTGTGTCTTTTAACTGGAGAGTTGAGGCCATTTACATTCAAGGTGACTATTGATAAGTAATGACTTTGCCCTGCCATTTTTCCATAAATATTCCTATTTTTTGCTTTGGCTATCAGCTTGTTACAGGAAACCACTGCAGGGTGATTGGGGAGAGAGAAACGTGTCCCCATTTTTTTTCTCCTCTAGTTTGGCAAGTACACTATCCCCCACAGGGCTCCAAGCTGGAGTCCTCCATGCTTTTTCTGCAGCTTTATCACCAGTGGCTTGGGCTGTTGCAGTCTGGTCTCACCTCACTCTCCAAAACTGGTACGGAGGCTCTCAGCTGCTGAGATTTGTGTGTCCAGACCCTCCACGTACGTCTGCTGTGTCCCTCTAATTTGCATGGAGTTTCTTCTGCCATTTTCTCCCTCTTTCCTGAGAGTGTCTTTAACTATCTTTTCCCAGACTAGAGCATTAAGTTCCCCCACTGCTCCACCATCTTCCTTACAAACTGTTTGCTGAACTTAAATTTAATTAAAAATTCATTCTCTCATTTCGTACCAGCCATGCTTCAGTTGTTCAGTAGTCACATGAATCTAGTAGTTATGTTGAACAGTAGGAACGGAAAACATTTCCATCATCACAGAAAGTTTTATTAGAGAGCAGTACTCTAAAGTTTCTCATGTTGTGGGGCTGCTGCTGTGGTATTGCAGCCTAAGCTGCACTTGCAGTGCCAACATCTCATCAGTTACAGTCCCTGCTTTTCCACTTCAATCCAGCTCCCTGCTAATGCAGCTGGGAAAGCAGTGGATGATGGCCCAAGTGCTTGTGCCCCTGCACCCATTGGGAGACCTGGATGAAGCTCCTGGCTCCTGGCTTTGGCCTGACCCAGTCTCAGCCATTGTGGCCATTTGGAAGGTAAACCAGTGATTGGAAGATCTCTCTCTCTCTCTCTCTCTCTCCCTCTCTCTCTCTCTCTCTCTCTTTCCCTCTCTCTAATTCTAACTTACAAAATAAATCTTTAAAAGTTTTTCTCATATTGTAAGATTTATTCATTTAAGAAAAGCACATTTATTTCAAAAAAGCAGCACAGTTTGTGTATGTGTGTGTGTGTGTGTGTAGGCAAATTTTGCAGGTACTCTGAATAGTACATATATGAGAAGCACTGCTCTGCCCAAAGTTCTTAAGCTAGTACATTTATACATATAGCAAATAGTAGGCACTCAGTAAATATCTGTTGAATGAATAAGAATATATTCTCATATTCATTCATAATGTCAACTTTTAAAATATAAATGTTATAAATTACTTTATTTCAGAGAAATTTCAATGTAAAATCTGAATTCAAAAACTCACAATAGAGGAAGGGTAGGGTGGGAAGTATCACTATGTTCCTGAAGCTGTATATATGAAATACATGGAATTTGTATACCTTAAGTAAAATTTTAGAAAACCTCACAATAGGGGCTGTGGTTGTGGCATTGCAGGATAAGCTACCACCTGAGCACTGGCATCCCATATGGGCACCAGTTTGAGTCTCAGATGCTTCTCTTCCAATCTGGCTCCCTGCCAATGTGCCTAGAAAAGCAGCAGAAGATGGCCAAGTACTTGGGCTCCTGGCTCCCAGCTTCAGCCTGGTCTAGTCCTGACTGTTGAGGCCATTTGGGGAATGAATCAGCAGATGAAAGGTGGATCTCTCTCTCTGCTTCTGCCTCTTTCTCTAACTCTGCCTTTCAAAGAAATAAATCTTAAAAAAAAAAAAAAAAAAAAACCCACAATGAAACTACCACTGCTGAGCCGATGAACTTCCATGTGGCAGGGAAAATCAGGCTTTTCAGCTTCTATATCTGATGAAAGATAACAGACTGTTGATGGTTAAATCAATAAGAGCAAATGAAGTTCACCATTAACTCTACTAGTGCAATAAAATAAGATTAAATCAGATATATTCTACATAGTAACTGATGGTGAATAATTTAGTAAATAAACATAGGTTTTTAACATCTCTCATTTTCAAAATTTTTGTAAAGTTAACCAACTAAATCTTTGCTGGAAACATATTTTTACCAGTTGTAGCTCATCTTAGATTCCTCTTAAGGTTGTTGTTTTAGGTGGCACAATATTCATGTTTTATTCTTAGAATTATTTTTGCCTGTAATTGTTCCATGTGGATAATTCATAGAGACTAATGCTTCAGTCACTTCAACCTGGCATTGACTCATTAAATAAACAGTAAGTGGACAGTATCAATAACAGCTATTGACTGAAAGGAGTGAAGAAAAACAGCTCAGGATCATTTACCTTTATTATTATTATTATTATTAGTCCTTACTACGGATGTTTTTCCCAATGTTCTTGATTCTTTGAGCAACTATATTTTAAGATTATTTATTTGAAAGGCAGAGCAGAGAGAGAGGGAGAGGGAGGAAGAGGTGTCTTTCATCCCCTGGTTCACTCCCCAGATGACTGCAATGGCCGGAGCTGCACTGATCTGAAGCCAGAAGCCGGGGGGCTTCTTCCGGGTCTCCCACATAGGTGCAGGGGCCCAAGGACTTATTGCTTTCCCAGGCCATAGCAGAGACCTGGATCGGAAGTGTAGCAGCCAAGACTTGAACCAGTGCCCATATGGGAAGCTGGAACTGCAGGTTGTGGCTTTACCCACTACACCATAGTGCCAGCCCCGAGCAACTATTCTTGCTGAAAGATAATTTAACAAAATTTACTCTTGGGACTGACACTGTGACACACCAGGTTAAGCTGCCATTTGTGATGCCGGCATCCCATGAATGCTGGTTCGAGTCCCAGCACTTCTGATACAGCTCCCTGCTAATGCTCCTGGGAGAAGTTTCTGAAGACATG